CCAGCCGCTAGCCGGGGTTTTGCTTCTGCCGAGCACATCGCACACATCACAGAATGGGACCATTACTGTTATTACTACTATTAATCTCAAACGCCCATGCTGTTACGGAGTGCCCTCGAGAATGCGAATGCGATGCAATACCTCCACATAATGCCTCGTGGGCTGTCTATTGCCATCGTGGCGGTATTAACGACACACTCTTCGCTGATATTTTGAATCGACTTCCGCCCACGTTGAAGGTTTTGGATGTTCAGACTGTGAGCTGGCGACCGGCGAACAAGTTCAAATGGAGCGATAATTTGAACAGATTCAGCCAGCTCAAGCAGCTTCGTCTGGTGAGGTGTGGGATTCCTGCCATGAGCAGGAGTACCCGCCTGCCTTCGCTGGAACTGCTCGATCTACATGGAAATGAGATAGAGCACGCCACTATGGGCAATTTTGGCGGTATGCCAAATCTTCGTTTTCTGGACTTGAGCCACAATCATCTCAGTATTCTGCCTACTGGCGTATTCACATTTCTCCACAACCTTCGATCTCTTTCCCTCTCCAACAATAGCATCACCGAACTCTCGGCAAACCTCTTGCGTGGGCTTCGAACGCTAAAATCCCTTCGACTCGACAGTAATCGTATTCCCATCAAACAAATCAACGATCTTTTCGCTGATGTGCCACAACTCGACGAATTACATCTGAATGACTGTCATCTTAGCAGTATTGCCAATCTGTCATTGAACGATGTGGCACAATTACGTCATCTTGGACTGGCTAATAACAATCTGCGCACGATACCCACTCGAGAGTTAGGACAACTGGCACATTTGGCTGTGCTTGACCTTAGCGGCAATAGCCTCAACGAAGTGGGCGCATGTGCATTCTGTTCCAATAATATCTCTAGGCTTGACCTGTCACATAATCGTTTGGGATTGGTCAAGCATCCGTTTCATGCCGATGCTTTTCGAAATATTCCGCTTGTGGAGTTGGATATTTCATTCAATCACCTGGACGAGTTTCATTCGAGCTCTCTTGGTTGGGCTCAGGAAAGTATTCGAGCACTTAGTGTGGCTGGTAATTCGCTTGGAGGTAAGAAAAGTCGTTTTATTTTCATTCTTTTTTTGGTTACAACTGGGGTGTTGGGTTTTGATTTTATATAATTTTTG